GGGTGTAGGGCAGAATAATAATGACCATAGCAAGACAAAATGTGAGTAAAGACAAACCCTCTTACTATTGCTAAAATGCAAATGAGCTTTATAGGATAAAGACTTGGTTAAACTTGTCTTTTGGCAAAATCTGATTAAAAAAAAAAAATTGTTAGTCAGGGTTTAGACACAGCATTAGTTGAATTAATAGTGAAATGCATTACACGGATTTACTTTCTTATAAGATGTGGAAATATGATTTATAATCACGGTTTATAGATAGAAACAACATTTTATGTTTTGAACTTTTTGTAAATTATAAGCTTATTTTTTTTACCAAAGAATAAGAGGGTTCTGGTTGCAGATCTGCACTGTCTGTACCCAGTGCTGCACTGTCAGGACCCTGGCTGCATAGCTATACTGTGAGGTCTCCTGGCTGTTAGAACGAGCAGCTTATTCAAAGACTTTCAAAGTAAAAGCGAAGTTGATTCAAAGCATTTCTAAAGTAAAAGCTACCCTCAATAAACTCCCAATGAAGCTAGCTTCCTTTCACAAACAAGTGTTGTTATGCTGGAAATGTATGTGAACGCACAATTTTATTTTCCACCAAACTCCTCTCTGAAATAATAGATATGACCATCCATTCATCCATTTTCTAACATGCTTATCCCAAGTGGGGTCGTGAGGGGTGCTGCTGCCTATCTCCAGCTGTCTATGGGCGAGAGGCGGAGTACACCCTGGACAGTTCGCCAGTCCATCGCAGGGCAAATAATAGATATGTGCTACATAGAAATAAGTCTCTATATTTGGATCCCTGGATGGAAAAGGGCTTTTTGTCTATAAGACATTTTCTAAACAACAATGGAGGTTGACCGTCCTATTAGGATTTTTTCTTAAATTAAATTAATTTAAACTGCCTCCATGCTCAGTTTAATACTGTTATAAACTCTAATCCAGCAGCAAATATGTGCTGTGCGCTATTCTCGAATGCTTCGATTACAATTTCTGGAATAAACTTCCGATCCTGACAATGCAGGAGACCCCATTTTGCAGGTCT